TGCTGCAGGATGTTAGGCAGATTCCTATTCTGAGACAGAGAGGGTTCTGGTTATTGATGACAAAGGGTGATGCTGTTTGTTGCTAAGGGCTAAGGTCGCTGGCTGCTGTGCTGGTTACCAGACTGCTTTTATGAGGGACTTTGCTTTTTTTGCCAAGCCTTTTGGCTTTTCTTTATGTTGAGGTTTTTGTTTTGTTAAAGCAGGGCTTGTCTGCTTTTCCCTCATTGTAAAGCTTGGTCTGTGTGGCTGTTTTGATTGGGCAGGGTCTGTCTGCCTTTTCCTTTTTGAGAAATGGAATAAAATGTTGGTTTGTTTAAAAAAAAAAAAAGAATTAATTAACTCAATATTGGCGCGAATATTGGGAAATCTATCTATGTCAAAATGTGGGAAACTTGCTGATGTATATAAAGCAGTCACCATTCACTATGTATTATCTCTGGTTTTCATTTCCCCAGGTCCTGCAACTGGAGGAAAAAGAGGATCCGTTTTCTTGACTTCATGTTGAATGTTCACATCCGCTCGCAAACAAGTACGACCATTTTTTTATTTTTTGTACCTGCATTGCAGTGTAAGTAAGCTTGTGACAAAATTTTTCTGATTGGAAGGGTACTATTTCTGTTATTCGCAGTCCTTGAAAAAATTGCAGTATGTTGAAATCATATAGGCGTTTAAGTCTAATTCCCTTCTGGACCATTATTATGCCCGAGTTATGTAGCACTAGGTGATATATGCTAATCCTGAAGTAGAAATTTAACTTAAATGGTTAAATATTATGTTATTGCAAAAGCACAAGGGTGTGGCAGATCCCCTTGAAGTTATTGCAGGAGAGATATATCATGAATCAATTTCGTTATGTTTTGATGAATTCGTTTCGTGGTATTTTAGACTAGCACCCTAGTTTTATTGCTTTTGTATATGGATTCCATCTGGTTTTTGCTTTAGTGTGGTTTTTCATGTCCCAGTGTGGGGTTTTCCATAGGTTGACTGATGTTGAAAACAAATGGACGTCTTCACCACATCCATCACTCCAAATAGTCCCATTGTCACCAAAAACTCTAGAAACTACCAATAACAGTTAGAAACAACATTCATGACGAATTTGAAATATGAAAATATCTCCGACAATGATTTCAAAATTACGGAGAGTGAGTCTCAATTTCACTACTCATATTTTATTGTACATGTCAATGAAATACTCCAATTTCGTTGTCCAACCAAGACTACAAAAATAATTTAATTTAACCTTATACTTTTTATTGCCTTTATTTTTTTAGTTTTACGTATTTTTGATGTAAATATTGAAAAGATGAGTTATCTCAACATACAATATTTTTATGTCTAGTGATATTTTTGTAACGTTCCATCTTCTAGAAAATTTCAAACAACCTTATGATGAGTTTTTTAATTTTAAGATCACTTAAAAAAATATTTTAGAGGGGTCCTAAAAAGGGTTTCTTATTTAAACCTTCTTCGAAAAATATTTTAGAATATACAATGGATATAAAGAAAAGTATAAGAGAGACTACATATTAAAAGATTAGATATTTATGCAAAAATTCTAAAGACACCATAAATATATAACATTTGGGAATATTACCAGTTATGACTTTGCTACTTTTGTTTTTGGCTACAAAATGATTCATTGAATTGGATCAATCTGACCCATGCAAATCGATAATTACTCCAAAAAGAGACTAAAAGCTCTTATCTCTGTGAACAAATTGTTTTATTATAGTATGACTAAGAAGATACTTCTTTTTGGTTTATTTTATTTAATACACTAATTAAACTATTAAGCAATATTGGTAGTTTCAGTTTTTTTTTTTTTTGACCACATGAAAGCGGTTATTTCAGTAAATGATGCACTATAATATAATAATCGAAATGTTCTTTATAAGCTTGGGCTTGGCACACTAAGTTCATTGGCTATTTTTCTTTTTTCTTAAGGCCGTGGTTGGTTATGGGCTGGGCTAGGCCATCGAACACTAAATATCAAAATCCTTTAGAATGTTCAACCGCTCATGCAATCAAAATCCTATTGACAAATTAAATTTTGAGTTTACCAGTATTTTGGTTATAATTCGATCTCAAGTGCACATTTAAAATAAATTAGATTAAATTAGATATATGACCATTAAACTATGACTCTTGTGTCAATTAAGTCTCTAAATATTTATTTATTTTTTTATCAATTAAACTCTTCTGTCAGCGTCTGTTAGATTTGCTAACGAAAAGTGGCGCAGTGTGTCACTCGTGTGATTGAGCTTTAATTCATTTGTATCACGTGAGCGGCACACTTCAACACTTTCTGTTAGAAAATTTAATACTTAGCATGTACAGTTATGCCAAGATAACACTAAATAAAAAGACCGTAGTACTTAACCCACCCAAAAAAAACAGAAACAGGAAAAAGAAAAAAGAGATATTTAGTAAGATTCTATGGTAATAAAAAGTTGCCATGGAGTTATGCTACTAATCCTTGTTTCTGCAAATGAAAAATATGAAAAGCAGCCTCTCTAATTTTACAAGAATTGGAGGATCTTCCGACTCTTTTTGAATGGACAAGATTTATACACAAAAATAGATTTAACTGATTCAAAAAAAATTAAATTTCAAAATTTAAAGTCTACTAAATCAATTGGATGGTTAAGATTTGTACTAACCAATTGATTTACAAGAATTGTCTGACCAAAAATAAAATAAATTTTTTACAAGAATTGGAGGATCTTTCGGCTCTCTTTGAATGGTCAAGATTTATACACAAATATCAATTTAGCTTATTCAAATAAAATTTTGAAATTTGAAATTTCAAAATCTACTAACAAATCTTAACAATCCAATTCTGATGAAATGAAATTGGATGGGGGCAAACACCATTGAATTGGAACACTCCAAAAGAGAGAGTTTAACTTCAAACAAAACACCTCTAAACTTTCCCCCATCCTAAACACAAGAGAATGAATAGAACACTCACCATCAAGTTAATGTTAGGCCAATTTAGTTTTCAATTAATTCTATATGTTGGGTTAGTAATCTTTCTTCGACTACTGCTCCATCCTTTTGTAGCTATATCTTGGCCTACAGATGAAATGAAATATTTTGATTGTTGTTGTGTTGATATTGTTTAGAGGTGGTCACAAGGTTGAAGAACTCATCTCTAAAGCGTGTCTACAATATGGCACCATATCTTTGTTTATTTATGTTTGTAGTCTCGCTTTTGCACACCTGATTGCCAAAGGAAATATATTTGTTATTGTTGCTCTTTCTGCAATGTCTATCATTGTGATATCTGGTTTTAAATTTGCTGCAACTTTCCAAGATTCCGTAGCCATTGCTCGTTGGGTGATGCTTCAATCAATCCTCGCTGAGTTTATTCTCTTCCTCAACGACATGTTTGTGGTGACAATTATAACCATTTTTCCAGTCCTTCCTGCAGTTTTTGCCATGGTGAGCGAGAATTCTCTTTACACACACAGAGTCCTCGTTTTTCATGTTATTTTTAGTGATAACTCGATAGAAGAATATTTGTTTTCTTTAGACGGCTTATTTCATATTAGTTTTGTTATTTGTTTTTTATAACTTATCTCATCTCCTTCTTCTACGACTTTGTTCTGTTTTGTTTTCTTTCTAAGCGCTTTTCAGTGTTGAAGCCATGCTTCAAATCAAAACATGTTCCAGTTTGTCCTAAGATTGAGTAAGCTCTTCTCCCACTATTTTCGTCTCGACTTTTGCATTAATTTTTTTTTTTAAAAAATTAATTGCTTTATGTATCCAGTCTTACTGCTAAGGGTTTGTTTTTTTTTTTTTTTTTCACTTCCTCTGCTACTCTTTCTAATTATTATTATTATTATTATTATTATTTTGGCATTGCAGGGAAATAGACTAAGCAGCAATATTGGGTGGGCAACTTTTTATAATTCTATTGTGTTATGATCCAACGTTGTAGCAGATTTTTTGTGTTACAACTTTGTAGCGAATTATTGTTCTTCTTCCTGCATTTTTTGTGTTACGACTTTGTTTAACTTATATTGTTTTATCAACTACCAATTTATTTCGAGTCCCAAAAGTTTGTGTGTATATTGGCCATTGATTGTGTTTGTATGGTATTGCAGTGAATATTTTAGCTTTGGGATTAGCAAATCTGATTGGAGGACTTTTTGTCATGGGTCACAATGTGAGTAAATTTTCACTTTAACTCCTTTCGGTAATCAACAAATGTTTTGTACCGCAAAACTGGTGCTGGTTGGCAACAAGTATATTACTCCCAAAAATATCCCTAATTGAAAACCTTTCAAATTTTAGAAATATGTGTATATAAGACTCGTCTTGTTCAGATGATCGTGCTTTATTGGTTGGTACCAATTCATGTGTTGATTAGATGCTGAATCATGTTATTGTGCTTGTAGAACTCACGTAACACAAATTTATTTTTTATCATCAATTTGATGTAATTCAGAACTCTGATGAATAAAAAAGAATTCATGGCACTAGAGTCGTCACAACCACTGAAATTTTAAGATTTTTGGCTTAAGCAAATGAGAGCAGGCCACCAACTTGGATGGTTTAGAACTAACAATACACCCTGTTACAACGGAGACATTATTTGGATCCAAGTATCTGGAGAGCGTGCTGGCATGGTCACCTTGGAATTGTTTCTAGTTTGTTTGTATCATGAACTAGTTAACTGACGCACTTATAACCAAGGTCTCATCCTTATCACTCTTGGTTATAGTATCATTGGACCCATTAAGGGAAAATATAAGTAGTATGAGGAAATGTAATATTTTGAACTCTGTAATGATTTTGTGCTAATAGAGTCTTCCTTCCTTCCTTCCAACAACGCTATATTCCCCCAAAAAAAGTCACTTGCAGAATGTCTAAAATGACAGAAAAGCAACTAACTAGTGGTGTTTTCTTTCGTTCTTTCTGCCTTTCTTTTGCTCTTGTTCATCCTTGAAAGTTACTATTATTGAATAGAGTTGATTTTGAATGTAGTGTCTGGCTAGAATTCTATTCATTGACATACATGAAAAATCAATGCATGAGAACTTTCGAAGGATACTGATATTCAAACTAATCCAACTCGGGACCATAACAGTGATACATATGGGAAGGATGCGGAATATGCATTATAGAACATGTTTCTTTTGCATTTACTCAAAGTTATTTGCATCTTAAACTAACATGTTAGCTTACAGCTTTGGGAACTGAAAAAATATCAATCTGGAGGTGCCTCCAATCGGAGACAGAATTTCTTATTTTATGCAACGGCTGCCGTGTTATCGTTCCTCATTGTTGGCCTACTGCCTCCAGTCATCTAATACAACTCCAAAGAGAGTGACATGAGAAATAATTTGTCGTAAAAGCTCCTTGACCTTCTGGTTGAGAGAACAGTGGTTGTGATACATATTTTTCATCCGGTATAATCACCAGCGACATCTTCTCTCTTTCTCTTCCTCTCTCTCTTGCGCAAACTCACATTCTCACCCACACACCATCCAAAAATCATGGCATCCACTGTTGGGAAACTCTTGGTATGTATAAATATCATTGTTGGTTGCCATGAGATGAAAGGGGAAGAGAGAGAGAGCAAGAATAATGCCCCATCCAATAAATAAATATAAACTTATATAGTAAGAGGCTCTATTGAAAACAATTAAGTATATAAACGGTGGAATTTTCAAGGGGGTTGATTTTTATTGTAGAGTCATCTAGTACATTATTTGAGGTGTTTCGAAAATAATAAATAAGTATTATAAACAAAAACAATAATAAGAAGATGGAGGTAGCAGCCAAATAGAGATACATATGGGCTATGTGTGGTTATGTGTACACAACTTGTAAGTTGAGTGGTGAGTCATTCTAAAATAGAAGGAATAAAAAGGAGGAGAACACTTTTCAAAAAAAAAAATAAGAAGAATTGGGCGGAGAGAGTAGAAAAAAATACAAAGAGAAAGGAAAGAAAGAGACTTGGGCATGGGAGTGGATCAAGGATTGTGCCAAAAGGAGAAGGGATGGAGAGAAAAAAATACCCAAATGGGAGAGGGAGAAGTAGGTAGATGTTTAGGTTAAGAGATGATATTTATATGAACAATGAATATAATAATAAGAATATTTTGGTATTTTTACAAGTTATGTGACAGACATCCACTTTTGCAATTTGGTCATGAGTTCAAGGAATTTTAGTGCAAAAGTTTAAAGTTAAGTGGGTCATTTGCTTCCATCTTTTAAGTACCAGAGTTATTTTGCAACCCTTGATCCACTAAACCTTATGAAAATAGAGATGAAATTTTACCTCCTTTATCACAAGGACCCACAGAGCTTGGAAAAGTGAGTCGATGAGGGAGAGAAGTTAGATGATGCAGTGAAAATGAACACAGGTATCGGAAAGATATTCCATTTATGATTGTAAAGGGCAAACAAAAACCCCTTTCTGAAGTGGAAATATACTTTGTAAGTTTGTAAGATGTACAATATTATAAAGTCTTCTTCACCAAACTAATGTATGCACTTCATCCTGGCACTAAATGCTACTGCATCTAGCTTTGCTTGATTTCTTTGATTGTGCTGTGATATTTCATTTACTAGGCATGCCATATTCACATAGCTGTTTTTCTTGTCCTTTTTTCGTTCTTCTTTTTCCTAACTGAATATCATGAGATCAAATAATTATGACGCTAACATGCTCCTATCTATATATATGCCGTATGTATATTTGTTATGTTCGGATGTGTCTTCTGACAATTTCACTCTAATTCTGCTTCCCTATATTTTGTTTTAAAAACATGAAGCTCCTCATTCTTGGTGTCTTTTTTTAATAATTTTGGAAGTATGTCAATGTGAAAATATTTACTATATAATGTCAGAAATTGTTATTGTTCCTGACACAACAGTGCCTGTTTTGCTTATCAATTTGGTGCAGGAGGAGCTGTAAATGCTGTTGATAAATTGGACGCATCAAGCATTTCGGATGAAGTGCTACTCAATCATGGAAGTGGTCAACCGTTGACAACGCTTGCTGGTAGAACCCCAGTTAATAATGGAGAATCTACAGAAAATGCTATGTTGATACCTCAACAGGATGGACTAAAGCTACTGATTCCTTCAGTTGTGGATTCTTCAGTTTGTGAGAAATTGCCGATAGAACAAAAAAACGAGGTGTCTACAGAAAAGAAAAGTGCAGGTAGAAGTCTCACTTTCAATGGTGACAATGATATAGGCATTCCAACTTTCCTTCATAGAGGCTACATGTGCAAATAATTTTGGTCATGGTACTTAAAATTCTTGCTAAATCAACATTTTCGTGAAGCAGTAGCTTACCTTTAAAGATTCCATTCATGAATAGTGGAGGTGGTGTTTTGGTTATTTGATGATTGTTCTTTGGTGCCATGCTTATGTAACCAAAATTTACTGTTGAAGATGTTACAGTGTTGTTATGAAATATTCAAGGGTCATGCCTGCGATACGATTTCCAGTTGAGTAGTGACTATATTGAATTTGCTTTGCAGACAAGGAGACTATTTTCGCATTGCAAACACCGGTTGCTGTACTTGAAGGATCAGATATGAATGTGAAAGTGAGCATTTCAGCAGATATTCCACTTAAAAATGATAAAAATGTTGGGGTCACACTTCTTACTGAACCTGCAAAACAAGGTGAAGATGCAAAATTCAAAAGTACTCATAAAGGTATGCAGGTGATAATATATCGTATTGCTTATGCCTTAAAACCACCTCCATCTGCAGTTCTCTAGTCAATTCAATTGGCTTCCACTATTTTGAGTGTGAAACTCCTGATTTCATGTGCCACCTTTGCAAAGGTTTGCACGTTATACCTTATTGCAATCCAGACTTTCATACATCAGATGTTGTAATTTATTGTGAAGGTGGTTTGATTGAGGCTGTTAAGATTAGGATTGATGTAAACTTCTTGAGTGATTTCCTCTTCAGATATGATCTTAGTAATTTGCATTTAGCAGAAACTGTGGTACTTAGGGAACTTTTGTATACAATTGATATGTCAGAGTCGGGTAAGAAAAGATTTAGATTGGCATGGTAAAACTGATATTGCTTGGAACAAGGCTAGAGCTTGAAGGCACTGCTAAGCATGATGGTGTTACATGCTTATTGTGTAGTCTATCGTGGTATGTAAATGAAATTTGAGTTTGTCCTGATTTTTGGCTTTGTTAAAAATGTTAGTGGTTAAAGAACGATGTAAATTCAAATTAGTCATTTAAAAGTATCTAAAGAGACCAACCTAAACCCGGGTGCAGTTTTTTCTTACTTCAGAACTGGAGATCTAGTTTCATTATTTCATCTGAACTTCAAATTCTGTGTTTTTCTTTGTATTCACTCATCATTACTGTGTCACATTCTCTTGCACTTGTGTTTTAAAGTCCCTGCTGTTTGGGAATTTCCTATTTCTGCTGAATTGATTCCAATCTTCTAATAAATTTAACATGGCTTTTCTGTGAGAAGATAAAGTTACGTTTACATTTACAGATGGAGCCTATCACTCCAAAGTTTCTCAGCATGCCATCACTGGAACCAAAGTGGACATCCCTACAGAGGACCACGTGAAAATTGATAGGAATGTTCTGATTTCATTAGGACAGGATGCTTTGTTGATTCAAGACAATCAAGTTAACCATGCTAAAAGGTTGAAGGCTGTACCTGCTAAAAGCAGAACAGTAAGAATTAGGAAGTTTTATAATAATGTTGCTAGGGCGATCCAAAATCTTTTTCTCCAAAAATTAGGAATACAGCTATTTTAACTGAGACTACCAATTTTGTAATCTGAATGGTGAGCAAGAAACCTTTTTTAGTTGATGTTTTTTGGGCAGGAGCCACCTCCAGCCGTAGAAAACATTCATAACTTCTTTTGCCACTCTCTTTTAACTATGCTCATATTAGTTAACAATTGCCTGCCTGGTTGTGTATGAACCAAAAATCTGCTTATCAGAATAACAGGAATCCTGTTGTGGTGAGATTCCTCATGCTCAGCAAGGGGAAGTTTACGTCCTACATGTGTTTTTTATTTATTGCCTGATGTAAATCATGCTGTTTAAAGGAGAGAGAGAAAGACAAAGGGCGGTAGGGAGGGAAGGATGCCCAGGCTTATGTAAAGGGAGGGAGGGCAGGATACCAATGCTTATGTGCAATTCTTCAACAAGCATTGGAATTTTATGGTACCTACTCTCGGATTTCTGGCTGAGCTAGGCTCCTTGAGTGGGGCTTATGCATCTTATGATTTGCACGATCTACATTGATTTGTGGGGCAGATATGCAACTGTAATTTGTATGTTAAAATTTGCTCTAGATATTGAAGTTTATTGACTTGTGTAGTCCTCTATATTCAATGTCAAAACAAATTAAGACTTTTACACACGCGCCTACACACGTGAGCCTCACACACACACAAACAAATACATAATTCTTATTATGCAGAATTGAGCTAGAGAATCAATTGCAAATGCATGAAATGTTAGTAAAAGTTGTTGAAAGGCTTGAGTTTGACGCATATGGTTTGTGCCAATTCATGACTTAAATGGTTTTATGTCCCCAAAATAATATTCCCTTTTTCCATTTTTACATTTTCATGTAATTAATTCTGCTTTCACATTGATAGTTTATTGTAACAATGCATAATTACAGCTCATTTGTATATTTCTTTCCTACTGAAAAATACATATCAAACGACTGTTCTGTTGTAATCTAATACAGGCAAGGAAACAGTAATAATTGTAGAAGAAGGCCCAATTGAATCAACAGCTACTCAAAGAGCAGAAAATATTGGCAATTCACCAAAAACAGGGCATACACCACATACTACAACTCAACTTCATGTGGGGAGAGTAAGCTCCACAGCTAGAGAAGTTCATGGAGTGGAAATAATTAAAAGCATTGTATACGGGGGATTAATCGAATCAATTACAAGCCTTGGAGTCGTGTCATCTGCTGCTGCTGGTGATGCGGCCACATGTAAGTGTGTTGTAGGGTATTTTTTCTTGTTGTAAGTGCTTACTCTAACACTACTTGTCAAAGATTTGTGTGAATAAGTACTACTAATTTTCTTGGCTTTGCGTCATTTGGTAGGTAGTTGTAAATGATTAATGTTGTGCTTTGTATAAAGGTGACTATCGGCTTCTTTCTATGTTGCTTTATGTAGGCCTCTTTTTCAGCTAAGAAAACAAATCCTAATTTTTACACTTGTTGAATTGAAGCAATAATTGGTAAATGTGTGTGAATCACTGAAGGCTCCATGTTAGATTATCTTGCGTGAGTTTCTACAGCAAGGATTTAATTTTGTAATAAGAGGGATGTTACGTTGGCCCTTTGTTTTTAAATTATGGATTTTAACTTAAAACAGAATAATGCTTGCAGGCCAACATTAGCTGACATTTATAATACATGGTATAAATGACAATAATGATGATATATTGCCCAGTGAAAAAGTAATCTTACCCACTTATTTCGGTATGTTTAGTATAACTTTCATCTTGGTCCAAAATCATGTGTTGTTTCTTTGTTCCTGATGAGTATGATGAGAATAAGGAAACTTCTGCCTAACCTCCTCTACTCTAAATGGTATGGTACCTATTTTCTAATGTAGGCGCTTCAGTAAAATCTAAATCACTTCTGGGATTTTTGTATAATTTATTCCTGCATTTTTTGTGTTACAACTTTGTTTAACTTATACTGTTTTATCAACTACCAATTTATTTTGAGTCCCAAAAGTTTGTGCGTATATTGTTCATTGATTATGTTTGTATGGTATTGCAGTGAATATTTTAGCTTTAGGATTAGCAAATCTGATTGGATGACTTTTTGTCATGGGTCACAATGTGAGTAAATTTCTACTTCAACTCCTTTCGGTAATCAGCATATGTTCTATCCCGCAAAACTGGTGCTTGTTGGCAACAAGTATATGACTCCCAAAAATAACCCTATCTGAAAACCTTTCAAATTTTAGAAATATGTGTGTATAAGACTCGTCTTGTTCAGATGATCATGCTTTGTTGGTTGGTACCATTTCATGTGTTGATTAGATGCTGAATCATGTTATTGTGCTTGTAGAACTCACGTAACACAAATTTATTTTGTATCATCAACTTGATGTAATTCAGAACTCTGATGAATAAAAAAAGAATTCATGGCAAAGGAGTCGTCACAACCACTGAAATTTTAAGATTTTTGGCTTAAGCAAATGAGAGGAGGCCACCAACTTGGATGGTTTAGAACTAACAATACACCCTGTTACAACAGGGACATTATTTGGATCCAAGTATCTGGAGAGTGTGTTGGCATGGTCACCTCCAATTGGAATTGTTTCTAGTTTGTTTGTATCATGAACTGGTTAACTGACGCACTTATAACCAAGGTGTCATCCTCATCACTCTGGGTTATAGTGCTAAGGGAACATATAAATAGTCTGTGAAAATGTAATATTTTAAACTCTGTAATTATTTTGTGCTAATACAGTTTTCCGCCCTTCCTTCCTTCCAACAACGCTATATTCCCCTAAAAAAAGCCACTTGCAGAGTGTCTAAAATGACAGAAAAGCAACTAACGAGCGGTGTTTTCTTTCGTTCTTTCTGGCCTTCTTTTGCTCTTGTTTCTCCTTGAAAGCTACTATTATTGAATAGAGTTGATTTTGAATGTTGTGTCTGTCGGCTAGAATTGTATTCATTGACATACATGAAAAATCAATGCATGAGAACTTTTGAAGGACACTGATATTCAAACTAATCCAACTCAGGACCATAACAGTGATACATATGGGAAGGATGTGGAATATGCATTATAGAACATGTTTCTTTTGCATTTACTCAAAGTTATTTGCATCTTAAACTAACATGTTAGCTTACAGCTTTGGGAACTGAAAAAATATCAATCTGGAGGGGCCTCCAATCAAGAAACAGAGCGAGTTGATTGGTACCAGGAACTACTGGGACGAAGACAAAATTTCTTATTTTATGCAGCTGCTGCCGTGTTATCATTCCTTGTTGTTGGCCTACTGCCTCCAGTCATCTATGGCTTCTCATTTCAGAGGAGTGATGATAGAGATCTCAAGCTCGTGGCAGTAGCAGCGACTTCACTTCTATGCATCATCCTACTTAGCATTGGAAAGGCTTATGTTCAGAGGCCTCCCAAGTCTTATATAACAACAGCAGTATACTATGTTATGATAGAGTTTGGAGTCTCGGCTGTTTCCTTTGCAGTAGGCAACCTAATCATGAAACTCCTGGAGAAGCTTCGTTTATGTCAGTCCAATTCCCTTGTAACCCTGCCACTTCTCAAGACAGAACCAGTGAAACCATTATGGGCATCCTATTAGTGTCACCAGTGTTGAATGCCGATTTTTTGACACACAGTCATTCGAATCAATGCTGCAGAGTGGGTGAGTGATGTTCCCTTATACAGGGCCCAAACATCAATTGCTATTGACGGCTCAGTTAAACTTATGCCTGATGTCTTGTACACTTTTCTTTTTCACCTTGCTTTGGGCTAAAACTACTCTTTTTCACCTAGCTTCGGGCTAAAACTACCATCTAGAGAATATTTCTCAAGGTGAATAATTAGTGAGTATGCGACATTTTTGCACTCAGAGTAAATTGGAACAGTTTTTTATGTTGTATGCTTATACGGAATAAATTGAGTAAGACCAACATCTACAATTTGTCCACTAGGAAGTTATTTTTGCAAGGCCCATGGAGGTAGTCTTTTGCAAAAATAACTTGTAAGTATTATAATAAATAAGTGTTATAAACAAAAAACAATAATAAGAAGATGGAGGTAGCAGCCAAATAGAGATACATATGGGCTATGTGTGATTTTGTGTACACAACCTGTAAGTTGAGTGGTGAGTCATGCTAAAATAGAAGGAATAAAAAGGAGGAGAACACTTTTCAAAAAAAAAAAAATAATAATAATAAGAATTGGGCGGAGAGAGTAGAAAAAAATACAAAGAGAAAGAAAAGAAAGAGACTTGAGCATGGGAGGTGGATCAAGGGTTGTGGCAAAAGGAGAAAGGATGGAGAGAAAAAAATACCCAAATGGGAGAGGGAGAAGTAGGTAGATGTTTAGATTAAGAGATGATATTTATATGAACAATGAATATAATAATAAGAATATTTTGATATTTTTACAAGTTATGCGACAGACATCCACTTTTACAATTTGGTCACGAGTTCAAGGAATTTTAGTGCAAGAGTTTAAAGTTAAGCGGGTCATTTACTTCCATCTTTTAAGTACAAAAAGTTATTTTGTAATTAACTCTATAAATTATAATTGTCATTTTGGCACTAAACATAGTTCAATTATAATAATTTTTTACATATTTGTGCAAAAAAATTTATTTTTTATTTAAATTTTTTATTAAATTATGATATTCTTGTTATGATTTTTTAAAAGTAGAGGGATACTTCACTGTAGCCTCCGAGCTAAGGGCTAATTTGTATTTAATCCTTTATTATAAATGGAGAATTATACTCAGACCCCTCAAGTTTATTACTTAATCACTTAAACCCTTAATATTTAAAATATTACATATAAAACTCCTAAAATTTGTATATGCATAACACTTAGACATTTGTAATCAAATATCAAATTATACTCAAACCCCCTAAATTTTTAGGTACATAATATTTAGATCTTTAGAGTTTAAAATATTATATTTAGACAAAAAATACTTAAATTAAAGATAAAATATCAAATATTTTAAGTTTTATAACCAAAATTCATATTTTATTATATCATTTATTGAAATAAAAATCAAAATCTAATTTTTTTCTTATAAAAATCATAATTAGTATATAATTATATTATTTATTGGAATAAAACAAAAAAAATCAAATAAAGGGTCAAACCGTAATGTGTATAATGTTTTCCATCTTTAATTGGAATAATATGGTTGTTTAATAGATTTCGTTAATTCTGTAACTAATAAGTGGTTTAAATATAATATTTTAAATTTGAGGGGTTTAAGTGTTACACATCAATAAAATTAAAGATGTTTAAGTATAATTTATTAACAAATATTCTAACGCATATTGATAGGAGAGTTACGCGCATAAAATTTTAGAAAGGCCTAAATTATTAAGCGACGAGTTTAATTCTCCCTATTATACATGTTAATTGAAAAAAAAAAATCACAACGCATAGAACGCCTTCAATTTTTTTTGATTTTAAGTTGGGAAAATTCGGTAGCCTCAGTCAAAAACCCAACGGCTTCATTCCCACTAAAATCTCAACCCTCTCTTCCCGCCAATCTCCCAAATTCCCAATCTTACGCTTCTCTCTGTTTCCAAATTCGCATCCCATATATTCCCCAAATCTCCTTAATTTGCTTCCCTCCCCATTCGTCTCTCTCTCCCTCCTATGTTTCCTCCCTCTCTTTCCCGGCGAAAGCCAGCCACTTCGCGAAATCCACTACAAACACTGATCGGCGTACGACCCATACACACAGAGTCGCTCACCCACCACCTACAAAACTATGCTTTCAACAACACACCCTCCATTACCGAAGTGGGTCTCCATTAGCCAT